GAATATTTTAATAAATCAAATGCAGAAATAATCCTTAGAATGTGCTCTTTAACTACCACTATTCACTTTTCCACATAATCACCAGACAATTGGATACATTTCTGTCAATGATGAACAAGTTTTCTGAAGCCGTCACGGAAGAAGTCGACACTCTGTTTCTGCAACCAGCGTCTCACAGTTCTCTCAATGTCTTCATCAGAAGCATAATGATGTCCCCGCAGATCTTCTTTCATTAATGGGAATAGATGGAAGTCGGATGGTGCTAAATCTGGACTGTATGGAGGATGTCGTACGGAGATCCAGTCTCTGAAGTTTCAAGTCTGTGCACTTTCATTTCAGGCATTAGCATTCTGGGTACCCATCGTGCACAGATCTTCCAATAGCCAAGCAAAGCAATAATGTGACCCACACGTTCTTGTGAAATGCCGATTATGCTTGAAATTTCTCTCTGAGTGATACAATGATCATCCTGAATCAATCTGTCAACCTTTTGCTTGTGAAACTCAGTGGTTGCTATCACAGGATGTCCAACTCTTTGTTTGTCATGCAAGTCAGATGTTCCCACCTCAACATCTTTAAACTTACTTGCCCAATGATGCACAGTACTCACATCAACACAATCACCATAAACAGCTTGCATTCTCTGATGAATCTCCTTTGGGGTGACACCTTCTGCTGTCAAGAATTCAATGACTGCACATTGCTTAAGTTGCATTGACCGTCCATCTATGCAGGGTTCCATACTTCGCACTTTAACAACACAACCATTCAATGCTAAGGCTTCCCACCAAAATGGAACTGTAGAGGAGAGTCTACTGAACAAGCAGTACCTGCCGCATACCAGTACTGCCATCTGTTGAGGAGTTACGAAGGTGGAGGCATTACTTTTCATTCATTCCTCGTAACTTGGGTGACAGCCTGAATCCTGTTAAAGTGAAAACAGCTCCTGTGGCATTTAGCTGACATGGGACTGATCTACTAGGCCTGGGTAACAACGGAAAAATTTGTTTCTAAAATCGATTTGTATTTGGGGGGTTTTTTTTGTTTCGATATTTAAAATAATTACAAAATTTTCCTTTTAAAAAGTTCGATATTTACGAAATTTCGTAAATTGTAAAAAATTAACGAATCGATTTCCGAAACAATAACGAATCGATTCGTTAATGGCGGACGCGACCGCGAAATACGCTAAAAAACCTCCAAAACCTTCTGAAGCTTCCCTCTCCCTCTGTTGTTGACTGTTGGTGTGATATTATAATTTTTTTCACTAATTAAACCATAAAACTGGCCCAGACATGCGGAAATAATAACGAAACGACCTCAAAACAATAACGAAATGAATACAATATCGAAATACGAAGCATTTACAAAACGTTTTTGAAATTTTGTTTTTTTAATAATTGCTCCAGAATGGTTCGTTATCGTTTTGTAATTGAAAAAATTAACGAATTATTAACGAATTACGAATTAACGAAACGAAACCGCCCAGCCCTATGATCTACACATACATCAACCTCAGTGGTTAGTGTAGATGTGTCCCTAGATCTAATGGATTTTAGGAGAACATTAGGAGAAACTTCTTAGCAGTTAAGGTGGTTTGGCAATGGAACAAATTACTGACAGAGTGGGTAGGCTTTTTATTATTGCTATTATTGAAGAAAGCAATGTCTTGAAGCAGGAGCTGAACCACACTTCATCTGGTGGCTTTGCTCTGGAAAATTCCATTTGCTGGTTTTCGGTTATCAAAATACTTGAACCATAATGCAACCGTTACTCCCTTAATAGCCTCTTGAAATGTTTTTCGTCATCTGCAGCCACACCAGAAAGAAATGAGTGACAATAAGATGGAGAATTTGCCCACATTTTAACATGTTTTCATATCTGAGATGGAAAGAATGGGAGTTTTTAAAATATGAATAGTGAAAGAAACCAAAACATCAAGAATTCTCCATCCAATCCAAATTTTTGAAGTTTTGAAATTCAGAGTCAGAAAACCTTGGGAATTCTACTATATTAAAGGTTGTCCTGTTTCTTTTGTTCTTTTTTTCTTAACTGACTTGACATTCTTATCTTTTACTAGCTGTACCTGCCACACGTTGCTGTGGCCAACCTTCCCTCCCTCTTTTTCTCCTTTCTTTCTCTCCTTCCTTCCTCTCTCTTTCCTTCCTTCCTTCCTTTTTCTTTCTTCTCTTCCTCCTTCCTTCCTTCCTTCCTCCTTCTTCCTCTTCCTTCCTTCCTTCCTTCCTTCCTTCCTTCCTTCCTTCCTTCCACACAGTTCTATAACCCAGAATATCAAGGTAGAAAATCCCACAATATTTGCTTTGAGCTGGGTTATCTGAATCCATGCTCAGATAATGTGGGATTTTCTGCCTTGATATTCTGGGATAGAGGGCTCTGTGGAAGTGCCCTCTGATAACCTAGTTTAAAGTAGATATTGTGGGTTATTGTGCCTTGATATTCTGGTATATAGGGCTGTGTGAAAGGGCCCTGGGTTATCTGAGTCTACACTGCCATATATTCCATGTGAAAGCTGGTAATGTGGGGTTTTATTCAGGTGTGTGGAAGGGGCCTTAGATACAAATGCAACCAAAGAGCAAACCAAGAAAACCAATTTGGTTAATAGGTTGAAGACTGCCATTCTAAAGGGGATTTCTTTCTTTCCCTTCCTAAAAGGCCTCAAGGGCTATAAAGCTGCCCCAACTAACACGCACCACTCTCCTGAGGCACTCTGTTGATGCTCAGGGGTGGTGTTTGCTTAGGTATAACTTGGCTCTTTCCATTGTTGGGCATAGCTATTCCTGTTGGATTTGGTTAATGGACATGTGGCAGAACTGTGCTCCAGTTTATCAAGGAAGATATCCCAAGGGCCATCCAATTAGAGTTCATAAGGCATTCTTAGCATTACCCGTGATAATACTCATGAATTTTTTTTGTGTTTTTTTTTTACACACAGCCCTGTCAGGGCATGGAACATTAGCTTTGCAAAAGAATTCATAAATGCAAATCATTTGCAAATGAGGTGTTAATTAGTTATTATTGACACAGGTGACAAAATTGCTTGATTTATTAGATAAGCAGTAATTTATTGCAAATCCCATGATGTGGCAGAAGTCTGGCAATCTGCTAACAGTCAAATTGGGAAAAGCCTACAGCCCAAGATTTTAATCTGATAATATTTATTATATTTTGTCACTCCCTTTATTCCTGTGCCAGCTAACATGAGCACTGTTAGTCATTTTACAACACCATTTTTTTGTTAAAAGGATAATGCTAAAATTAGTGATGAATAGCGTTTTTCTTTCAACTAGGAGGCCCTGATTCATTGAAGTACAGTTCTAGCAGGCTACAAAAATCAGTTAGTGAATCAATAGTAAAGAATTCTAAATCAAAGGGAGCTGCACAGCTTATAGCACTGATGGTTTTTGGGATCAGGACAGCATCAGAACCGGGTGGCTGTCTCCATTGTGGATCCCTTATCTGTCCATATGTATCTCCTCCTATGAACCACCTCAGAGATTAAGATAGAATCATAGAATCATAGAGTTGGAAGAGACCTCATGGACCATCCAGTCCAACCCCCTGCCAAGAAGCAGGAATATTGCATTCAAAGCACCCCTGGGGAGTCTGGGTAGGCCCTGCTGTCACTCCCTCCTTCCTTGCAAGTTTGACTTGTGGGGATGACAGACGACTTTCTCAGTGGTGGCCCCTCGGCCGTGGAACTCCCTCCCCAGCGACATTAGATCCAGCCTTCAGAAGGAAAGTAAAAACTCGGCTTTGGGATCAGGCTTTCAGAGAATAGTGCTGTGGAATATGTGCAATAACTATGGAATGGCTTTGGGACTACGTTTATGTATGGCATGATTTTAATATTGAATGTAATGTTTTTAAATGCTTAATATGCATTAATTCTAATTTTAATGTTATTAGAACTATGTGTGTTTTAAGGCATTGAATAATTGTTTAAATGTAAGCTGCCTTGGAAAGACAGGAAAGCCTAGAGAAGACAATTATGCTGGGGAAAGTGGAAGGCAAAAGGAAGAGGGGCCGACCAAGGGCAAGATGGATGGATGGCATCCTTGAAGTGACTGGACTGACCTTGAAGGAGCTGGGGGTGGTGACGGCCGACAGGGAGCTCTGGCATGGGCTGGTCCATGAGGTCACGAAGAGTCAGAGACGACTGAACGAATGAACAACAACAAGCTGCCTTGAGTCCCCTTTGGGGTAGAGAAAGGTGGGGAATAAACAGGGTAGATAAATAAATAAATGCATACATAAAATCTTTGCCTTGTTCTTCCCAAGGACCTATGTGACTTCTTGGCAAGGAAATGGGAACTATATATAGAGCATAGATATCTATTACTAAGATACACACTTTGTGTATACAAGGAAATGGGAACTGTTATCAGTGGGTTTGAACTCTCTGGTTGGTGAGCCCAACTCAAATATCCTGGATTCAGTTTTCACTCCAGTTTGGGGGAGAGAGGAATTCAGGGGCCTACTTTCATACTTCCCAATCAGTTTTTTACAGAGCGGCACTAACTCATCCATTAGCTAGAATGAGTTATGCATGTAATTTTCAGTCTATGTATGTTTTGCACATATGTTGGTTTCATGATAGTTTGTCACAACTTTTGTGGATAGTTGATATGGGTTCTGGATCTGGGGTATCTCTTACCAAGGCCTCTTTTGCATAACTAATGGAGGGGGCTCCCTCAGAGGACTCAGGAAACATCAGGAAGATGAAAGTGAACATGGGTGAATATGAGCACCTACTTAGACACGTGATTATTTTCCTCACAAGCAAATCTGATGTTGTAAAATTGAAACTGTTGCCTTTTTTAATGAAACCATCAGTAAAGACAGCCCCCATGTAGGAAAAGGTGTCAACAGAGGTGTTGAGAGTTGGTCAAAATGTCAGAGGCATCATTTCCTGAGTGGTGTCTCTGCTTGCCAGCCTCATTCTCTCCGAGCTGCTTCTTTGAAGACCTAAGTTAGACAACTGCAACACTGCTCTTCTGCCTCATTTAAACAATACCATGAACAAGGAAATGCATCCAACTCGAATCCCTTGCCAGCTGGAGGATGGGCCCTGCTACTTTAATTTCAGACCAAGACTGAAAGATCAAAGAGTGAAAGTTAAATCTCATGTTCAAGGTAAATGACTACTTCTCTCCAGACTAAAGGTTTCTATGTTGTGACTGGCAGTCTCAACAGAATAGAATAGCCTTGTGAATGTTGGATTTTTACAACCACAATTCCCAGGATCCCCTGACCAGCATGATCACTGCTGACAGTGGTAGCTTGGGGGTTCTGGGAACTGTAGACCAAGAGTCAATTTTGCATTCTTGTCTCACTATGTCATCATGAGCTGTATTTGATAAACCTGTTTATTGTCTAGTAAGGTCCATCTCATGGTTTCTTGGTGCACTATATTAGTGCAAATGGAGTATAAGTGATGTGGAAGAGGTTGGAAGGGTTTCCACTGTAAGGCAACCAAATTAACGTTCTTCACATCACTCTTCTGTGGTCGTGATCCATGTATGATGATGATGATGTTTGGGAAGGTCTTGCCCCAGAGCTACAGAGATTCATGGCCAGTTTGTTATTTGGATGAATGTCTTTCCTTACATGGTTTTTATCTGTACTATTCAAATGTCATAGTACAACATGTTGTTTAATTTGGGGAAATGTAAATACGCACACATTATGTGAGCTCGTTTCTTCTAAAACACCACATGTAACAGAGTAGATCGTGTATGTGTTGGGGGGATTGTCTCTTAACTGCAAGGTTGACCTCATGTATAAGTTGAGGACAGGCTTTGCAACCAAAATTATGGATTTTGATATGACTTATGGATAAATTGAGGGTCATTCCATGGAGGGAAGAAAGCACCAGTGCTGCCCCAGGAGTCATTCCTGGTTGCCAGTGCCGTTTGCCTGCCCAGGCATTCAAAGAGACCAGGAGTAATAGGTTCCCTGGGATGGACTATGCTCTTCCCTTTTGTGTTGCGTTGCTGGAGGCTTTCACAGCTGGAATCACTAGGGTGGTGTCTCTGAAGATGCTAGTAACAGATGTAGGTGAAATGTCAGTAGAAAATGCTGCTAAAATTTGCCATACAGCCAGGAAACCACACAACACCCCAAAAAGGTTGGTTCTTTTTTTAAAATAAGAGTTAAAGTGCACTACTTCCCATTGATAAGCTGACCCAAGTTTTTTTGGGTTTATTTTTTTGACTAAACAAAATCTGGACTAATACATGAATATATACTTTATTTTTCGAAAATTGTATCCCAAACTCTGGTGTTGATAGCCAACCCTTTCCATTAACATTTGGGTCCTACCTTTAGCAGCAGCATAAACCTTATGGATATAATTACAATAACTAATTTGGGCTTGGAACAAGAGGAATGGGGAGGGAGAAAGTGGATAGGGTATTGGAAATTGGGCATGAAATGCACATTATGTAAAGTGTGGGCTGGCTATCAAACAATTTATCTTTGCCCATTACACTTATCTTACCAACAGTGTGATATCATCACATTCAGGGCCTGCGTAGCTGCAAAGCTGACAAATACACTATGGTATCTTTCATGCCTTATAGATAAGATATAATAGCGATGAAGCTTTGTCTGAGCCATTGCATGTCTGTCATAATTTACTTTAGTTATTAAAGTAAAAAAGAACTAGGCTGAAAACTCCACCTAGATATTCAACTCACTGGTTATCTTGAGCCAATCACTCTTTCTCAACTTTACTTGCCTCCCGAATTTTTGTAAGACACAAAATTAGGGGCAGTTTTGTTCATTATGATAACCTCCTTGAGTTAAGGATGAGGTGTAAAATCAGAGAGAAAAAAATACTTCACCCTTGATTTAAGCATCTAACACCTTCATATTTCCTTCTAGAGCGCACTGTGGTTGGATTTTAATACATATCTGCAGGCTTGAATATACTGTATAGTGTCCCACTGTGAAACTACATAATAATTGAAGGGAGTTTCACTATGTAACCATAGATTTATAAATGTGGATTATTTTCCATTGTTTGAAAATGTGCATGCACCCACTATGGTAATTTTCAGAAATTGAAATTAGATTATTTTTTAATCTTTCCTTTCACCTAGTACAGGGGCTATAAAATGACAACTTCCATGATTTCATAGAACTGAGCTATAGCAATTAAAGTGGCATCAAACTACTTTCATTCTACACTGTAGATGCACTTCCATACCTGCAGCTCTGTTCTAGTTAAAAGGCATGCATTACCATGTGATAGCAGTATTATTCCATGGTAACATCCACTGGAGTTTTGGGACTAGTTATTTAGTGACACCTGTCAGCTCTCTGGCTGAAAATTCTAAATATCCCTCCCTAAACTTCAAGTGCCAGGTTTCATATGATGCTACCATGACAGTTAAAGTGGAAAAATAGCACCATAACAGAATAGTATGATAGGGGCCTCTGAGATCAGAAGTTGTCACAGGACCCCATGAGTGTCTCTTGCTGCCTGTCTCAATAATTCTCTCTATCAGGAGAGCATTGCAGCACCATTGTCCAACGTTATGATATGCAACATTTTGGAAACCTTTTGGTTATGGCACTGTCTGGCTTCAGTATTAGGCTTCGGGAGTAGCATTGGTAAACAGAGCTACAATAATTGATTAAGAACAATGGGAATTGCAGCCCAACAGCATTTGTGGCTCTTAGATTGAGGAAAGGTAAAAGGGCATTTTAAACATCAGACATATCCACAAACCTTGGATCTAAATCCAAACCTATTTCCTGACTAAGCAGAACAAACTGCAGCCTTCCAAATGTGACTTTAGACTTCACCTCAAAGGGCAGACTTCACCGGTTCTGCTCTATAATAATAAACTTTATTTATACCCCACCACCATCTCCCCAAAGGGAACTCGGGGCGGCTAACATGAGGCAAAGCCCGAAGATACAATACAGCAAAATAAAATGCAAAATACAGAACAACAAAAATTACATCAGAATAAAATACATACAGTAGAAAAATAGCATAAATAAAGCAAAATAACACAATGGAAAATCGAAACACAATGGGTAGGCCAGATGCACAAGATAAAATGATAAAACCCTGGATGAGGTAGGAGTAAAAAAAAAGTGTATTTGAGAGGAGCTCAAAAAGGATGAACAGTGGGGATAGGCCTTCAATTTAGGACAGGGGAAAGTTCATCATAAGGACACTGTAGATGGAACAGACAGAAATGGGATGAATGGTCACTCTCCAAAGGCATGTCGGAAGAGCCAAGTTTTCAGATCTTTCTTGAAAGGCTGCTAGGCTTGCCTAATCTCACCAGGTAGCGAGTTCCAAAGCCGGGGGGCCACAGTGGAGAAGGCTCTCTCCCTCATTCCCACAAGTTGTGCTTGTGATAGAGGAAGGGGCGAAAGGAGGGTCTCTCCAGAGGATCGAAGGGATCATGCAGATTGGCCCTACTTCACCCACAGAACCCACAGGCTTCCATCAAACAATGTCAGTGGGGTTCGTGATGCTTATCAGCATACTTCAGACAGGACACAGCTCTTTGAGATGCAATGTTGGAGCCAGGAAATGATTTGTCAAGAAACTGCATTGTTTGTGGCTGTTGTGGGAGAATGAATAAACTGTTATATTTTGTAGACTGTGCTTTGCCAGTTATCTGAAGTTGGCAATAAGGGCTCACTGCCAAAGAAATAACACAGTTATGGCTGGCTGAGAGGCCAGTGAAACCACAAAATGTGTGGGCTGAAGTTCTGCTCGCTGGCCAAAAGATTAATAAAAGATAATATGACAATTGAGAACAGACTCAATGTATCTCAAAAGCTAGATCTGTTCCAAGATTAAATGCACATTTGCCAAATGAAGAAATCAAGGCAGAGAGCCAACATTTGTGAATCAGTAAATGAAATAAAGCCAACAAAGCCTCATGAAAGATATTTTAAAAGAGCAATAGTCAGTCAATTGACTGAGCAAGAAGACAGAAGGGTTCTTGATTATGGACAATCCCCCAGAATTGATATAACAGAGTTAAACTCTCTGTTAGCTACACTGAAGCAATAAATTGTGTTGGGAATAAATAAATTAACTGTGTAATATCTTCTACAGATGAATACAAGTGTTGATTTTATGCAAAATGTTGCTCCCTTGCCAATGCACTGTCCTCTGATGACCATAAATTTTATATGTTTGAGAAATGTTCCTCATAAGAAATATGGTGCATACTTTGTCCAAGATTATATAATGCCTATCAGCATAAAATACCTAGAATATAAAAGGCCTAGACTGGAAATTTATGTGATATGGTGAACTTCTGTTCAGAGCATGTTAAAGCAATAAACATAGACTAAACATATGACTGGTTTTTCCAAGTAATGTATACCAATTCTTTGTACAGTAAAAAACAAAAACAAAACCCAGCATTATTGTTGTTGGGGTGTTATGTGGTTTCCGGGTTGTATGTCTGTGTTCTAGCATCTGTGGCTAGCAACTTCAGAGGATCTTCAATGATCTTCTGAAGATGCCAGCCACAGATGCAGGTGAAACGCCAGGAGAAAATGCTGCTAGAACATGGCCATACAGCCTATAAACCACATAACACCTGAGTGATTCTGGCCGTGAAGCCTTTGACAATACATTATTGTTGTTGTCATTTCCAACTCATGGCAGCCCTATCACAGGATATTCCCTGGCTGGGAGTGTGAGTTTCATTCAAGATCACAAAGTGGGTTTCCATAGTCATGCAGAAAATTGAGCCCTGGTCCAGTCCTCAAACCAGAATATCGCAGTGGCTCCCAAGAAATAGTGCAGAAAGATATTAAGCCATGTATTCTTTATTCCATGATTAATTCTACAATGCTCAAATCCATAAGGACACTTATGGGGAGTGTTGATGTTAACATATATATCTGAATAATACTGTTGTTCATAGGTTAGAAGCCAAGTTAACCCAAGGTCCAGTTGGAGATTCACAGATTAGTTGACAAATAGCAGAATTCCTCCAGTCAAAGAAAAAGGGTGGAATATTATGTCCAAGGAATGGATAGTAGAAGTCTGTAAATTTTTCAATAAAGTGATTAAAATTGGGGGATAGACTTGAAGAAAGGCTTTTTCTCTGGTCTTCACACTGTACCCTTATAATTCTGTGATCCCACTTCAAATGCCATGGCTACATTCCTGTAGAATCTTGTGACAAAGTGCTTTGGAGAAGCCTTGGTTTCTCTGGCAGGGAATTCCGAACTCTTCATGAAAATACAGATCCTATACTGAACACATAGCTGTTGGAATTGAATCAAATATTATGTAACAGGAAATCATAATACTAGAACCCAGAATTTCTGGTGAAACTGAAAGGAGAATAGGAGATATTCAAGGTCCAATCTTTTTCATAGCATGTAGTTAAAAAATGGCTAAAAGCTATAGTGGCATCTATTGCCTTCCTAAACTTGTGCACCATATGTGCCCTTACCTTGGGAAGTCAGACTTGGCCATGGTAGTCCATGCTCTGGTTACAGCCTGAATAGACTACTGCAATGCACTCTACGTGGGGTTGCCTTTGAAGACTGTTCGGAAGCTTCAAATAATCCAATGGACAGCAGCCATAGCAATGTACAGAGAGCACACAATCCCCTTTTTGCATCAGCTCCACTGGCTGCCAGTTTGCTACCAAGCACAATTCAAATCACTGGCTTTAGCCTATAAAGCCCTAACATTTCCGGTCCAGCTTACCTGTCCAAATGTATTTCCTACTATGAACCACCTAGGAGAGTAAAATCGTCAGGGGAAGCCCTGCTCTCAGTCCCGCCACCTTCGCAGGTGTGTCTGGTGGGAACAAGAGACAGGGCCTTCTCAGTGGTGTCCCCTCGGCTGTAGAACTCCCTCCACAGTGATATAAGAGCAGCTCCCTCCCTCCTGGCCTTCAGAAGGAAAGTGAAAACTTGGCTCTGGGGTCAAGACTTTGGAGATTAACTACAGTGCAATAATACTATGAAATATGTGCAATGATTCTTGGAACGGCCCCGGATTACAATTATGAATGGTGTGATTTCAATAGTGATTATAATGTGTTTATGTTTTAATATGCATTTTAACACTAATGTTTAAACTTATTTAATTTAAACAATTAAATGTATGTAATTATCTGTTGTCTAAAGGTATCAAATAGTTGCTATATGTAATGCTGCCTTGAGTCCCCTTCAGGGTAGAGAAAGGTGGATTACAAATAGAGGATATAAATATCCTCTATTAATAAATAAGTAAGTAAGTAAGTAAATAGATGTTTTAGAAAAGGATTAAATAGACCCATTGAGGATGAGGCTATGTCCAACTAGCTAATGGCAGCATAATCCTGACTGATTTTGGCCCCAACTACACTGCTCTATAATGCAGTTTCAGGACCCATCTACACTAACCATATAATGCAGATTGAACTGGATTATATGGCAATGTAGACTCATATAATCCAGTACAATGAAGTTCAATCTGTGCTATATGAGTTGACACTGACCATATAATCCAGTTAAATCTGCATTATATGGCAGTGTAAATGGACCTGAGCAGAAGATTACAGTGTGCTGTGTTGTGCTGTGGGGATCTCTCATTCACAGGGTCAAAACCAACTTGATGGCAATCCCTGGAGAACAGCAAAGCGAGAGGCTCCTGTGGAGTTCTCCACAAAATCACCTGTTGGAGAAATAAGATGCTGAATTAACGATGCCCTTAGCCTGACCTACAAGTGTTCATTTTCTGTTTTTTCTTTAACATCTTCCCCCAATAATTGTTTTTTGCAGATCACCTGTGGAGACATTCCAGATGGCATCAGTTCCTTCATGGTTTCGGTTGCATGACAATTCTCCTTCTAATGGGAGCTGTGATCGCACTAGGTGTTTGGGGTGAGTTTGCCTGAGACATAACATAATACTAGGTGTGTTACAAAACCTGATAGCTAATCTTTAGTATTACCAACCAGTTTCCAGGGTATAACATTGTTTTCAGAGAACAATATTCACACAGCCTTGTCACTGCCTCTCAGGCCAAAGCATCTCAAGATGAGAATTACATCTAATGCAATACACCAGACCATGTTGGGACAAGGTGTGTATGATTAATTAAACATTCAGCTTTCATAATTTTTATCCTGTGCCCCAAGAATTGGAGTATTGTGAGGAGGTACAGAGATTTGCTTGAACCTGACATATAGCAAACTCATGCATTGATTTTAAGGATTTTTAAATATTTTCTCTATGTCCTACTGAGAACATTGCTGCAATGTTAATATGTTTTACGATGATTTAATATGTTTACAATGTTTTAATGATTTTAATTCATGTTTATATGTCTATTGATTTTAGTTAATTATGTTATGTATTGCTTCTTTCTTATGTATAATATGGCATTGAATTTTGCCAAACTGTAAGCTGCTCTGAGTCCCCCTCAGGGTGAGATAGAGCAGAATAGAAATATAGTAAATAAATAATAAATAATAAATACTGATAGGAGGAGACAACTTGCAGGAAAAAACAGGGAATTCTGGGACTTGAAGTCCAGAACAATGGAGAGGAAAACCAGTCTGTGATTGGCTGAGGCAGACCATGTGGTGCATCAGATATCAGCCTTATCACCCCAAATGAGAGATGCTGCTGCTTCAACTATGGGGGGGGGGGGATTCCAAAAATCAGTAGATGAATGGATCTTTCTGAAACTTGGCAGGAATAATGCCCTACTCATCTTCTGTTACTGTGGGTAATTTTTAAAAACATACCTCTTTTGGGTTTTTTAAAATGTTATTTGTAAAATCTTTAAATTTTTTCAAAAAATCAGTAGATGAGTGAAATGTTCTAGAACATGGCAGTCTTACAGTTATAAATGTGTCCTACAAGTGTGTCAAGTTTCATCTTGATAGACATAAAAATGATGGAGAAACGAGCCTCTAAAGTTTCCTTATTGGCACGAATTGACCAAATCTTCCCAAAGCCGGATACAGAACTCCAGATCCCAAATTACAAATCCAAATGGCCTCCCTTCTATCTCCCAGAATCTTCCCAAAAACAGAATTGGGGGGGGGGGGCATTCGAAATGAAAATAGAACAGATTTCTGCCATTTTGCACACCATTAATGAGCATATCTATGTGTACTATTTCTTAACATAATAAGTTTATAAAATTGGGGTTCATATTCATCCATCTGTAAAGGGCACATTTCAGTAAATGTATGGATTATAGTTCTCTTATTTTTTTACTAGAGGCGCATAGAGTTGGAAGGGAACATAAGGGCCATCTAGTTTGATCCCCTGCCATGTAGGTAAACACATGTTAAGCACTCTTGTAAGATACTCATCCAAACTCTATTTTAAAAACTCCAAATATTTGTAAGAAAAAAAGAGGCTCGCTTAAAAAATGAGTTAGTTACGATTACAGATCAATGACTACATTAAAACAAAACAGTTTACAATTTGAAATACTTAGAGTTTTTTAAAAGGATACTTTACTTTACCATTGTTCCAAAATAGGTACATAGATACCTCCAGTTACTTTTAAACAGTATCCAAAATGCTCTAAGCCAGCAAAACATACACAAATGTTGATATCACTATATTTTATAACATTAACTGTAACATAAAATGGTTACACTGCAAAAAGAGTGCTATTATCCCTTGTTATATAATAATAAAATAGTAACATAATAAAGAGGCAACTGTTACTAGTAAATAGAATGAAGTACAAATAATGACTTGTTTGTAACTGGTTGCTTCCAGACTCAGGTAAATATTTTTTTATTAAAGTGGTGAAAGAGTATGCCTTACTCAATATAGGCCATCTGTGCACCCATCTCAAAACAGCCAGATTGCATAAAGACAAAAGCATGTTTGTTTGCTTATTGTTGCAATGGTGGCTATATTAAAAGGTTTATTTTGTGTTGTCCAAAATACTTTTGCAATTTTTTTTTGTCGTGTCAGCGTCACTTCTGGTGTGAGAGAATTGGCCGTCTGCAAGGACGTTGCCCAGGGGACGCTGGATGATTTGATGTTTTTATCATCCTTTTGGGAGGCTTCTCTCATGTCCCCGCATGAGGAGCTGGAGCTGATAGAGGGAGCTCATCCGCCTCTCCCTGGATTTGAACCTGCGACCTGTCGGTCTTCAGTCCTGCCGGCACAGGGGTTTAACCCACTGTGCCACTGGGGGCTCCACTTTTGCAGTTGAAACGCCTCCTTTTAGAAAATGTGAGTCATATCTCTTGCATCCCCAAAGTAAACCAAGTAGGAAGTGAGTTCTCACATGTTTAAATGGCTAAGCAGTTCAAACTCCCTCTCTAAAGAGAATTGCATTTGTTCACAGTTGTGCAAATATGGCACCTCAAGAAGCAGCTGTAGTGCTACACAGACCTTGCTTCACTTTCTTCTTCTAAACCACACATGTCAACCTCAAGGTCCACAGACCGAATCAGGCCTGCCATGTTATATTATGTGTGCATCCAGATATTGGACTACAACCACTGAGTTCCTCATCATTAGACACCAGAACTGATAGAATTTGGGATACAGTCACATCTGGAAGTCTTCACTTTGTTCTGTTCAGTTAGGAGAGTGAGGTCTGAATTGAGACACAAGGCTTGTGGATGTGATGCCTGACTTTAAAAAGTCCTTCTCCCAGCCTCAGAGCCATAAGTGCTGTTGAGTTGCAATTCCCATTATCCCCAGCCCACATGGCAGATAATCAAAAGTGATGGGAGTCATCATTCAATAACATCTGGGAGTACACGACACATTGCTACTGTGGATTGTCATTCTGACCTTCAACTATATCAACATCTGAGTCCATGGGCGTATATGAGCACATCAATCCAATGGTAGACCACCCCCACAATTCCCTTTGTGTATCAATGATTCATTTTATGTCTCATTAGACAATTGAGTTAATTGTTATTATACAAACTGAAAAACATGCGAGAGGGGTTTGGACTATTAGAAGCAACTAATGGAGGATAAAAGTTATTGTGGTGCTGACATGAGTTGACTATGCTGTAGGAATATTGGCTCCGTGTAGTGCCTCTATCGGATGCTTGCTCCTTCTCTACTTTCTGCTTATTTGATGTTGGAGCGCTGTCTCGGTTTTGTCTCTATCGTTTCTTTTGATATGTTTTCCCATCTTCTTCCTCTACCCTCCTCCCCATTTCTTCTAATCAAAGCCCTTCCCCTTGCCATAAGGCTGATGTGGACCTTGATGAAAATGGTTTGACACTACTAACCTAACCCCACCCCACCCCACCCCAAGTCATCACTTCCCTCACACAGTAAGTGTGAATTAACCAAATTAAGAAAGATGCTTTGCAAATGCCAACTTTAACTGTTTAAAAAAGAGATGTTCCTGTCTGTGGGGGAGAAAGGGAGTCTTCATTTGTGAATGAAGGCTAATTTTCCAGTACCCTCTGTTGAATAGAAGCAAGAAGAGTAGGAGGGAGGATCAGGGAAAAACAGGCAACATTTTTTGAGCATATCTACACTGTTCACCTCTATCACTTTGAAATCACTTGAAATGCTGTGACTGCATTATCTGGGGTTGTGTCATTGAGTGAAATACTTGGAATCTCTAGTAGCAAATTTTATGCATCTCACCAAATTGCATATATCAAGGTGCCATAAGATAAAGAGCCACATCATCCAAAGATGTGCCAAACATCTTAGTGTAAATACAGACACACCTACACTGTAGAATTAATGCAGTTTTGCACCACATTCACTATCATGACTCAATGCTATATAGTCATGGGAGTTGTAGTTTTGCAAAGGTTTTGGCCTTCCCCCATATAAAATAAAGACTTGGTATCCAGGAGTTGTAGTTTCCCAGGTGTGGAGGATTTCCCTGGAGTGGAGGGCCTCAATGAGTTGCCACAGTCCTCACCCCGCTAAGTCTCCCCAGTTGCACCCAGGCATCCCTTGACCCCACATAACCCCATTTTCCCCAAATTCCACTATCCATGCCTCTGGCATGGCCAGCTCAACTGGTTTCCCAGGGTCTTTCCACAGCAGTGCACAAGCAGAGCCCAGGGAAGCCAGCGATGGCCAGTGCCACAGAGTATCAACTGGCCTCACTGTCAGAGATACAATATATCAATCTTCCTCTCTTGTTAGACTCCATTGCTTCTCCCTCCACTTCACCCCACTGTCCATAACTATTGACTCGACAGGCGACTCAGATGATCCACTCAAGTCTCCTATTGACACATTGGACTTTGTCATTGTTGCTCTCTGGCAAGTCACCACTGTTCCTGAACCCTAGACCCACATAATCCACTCATTCAGTTTTCCGGACTTTCAGTATCTTTTGATTAACATCGCCATGTCCTGCAGGGCAGACCTGACCTCTCCGTCCAGAGCCCTCCCTCACCTCACCATTGGAAGCCCCAGGACAAGGTTCCAACTCCGGATCAACCAAGGGTCAGGAAAATGCTGGACGGCTTTTTGCATGGACAAATTGGAGGGCTGGGAGGGAATTTCAGTGTTAATGACAGTGTTAATGCATGGAATCCTATTTGTATAAAGATGCCTGCCTTTTCCATATTTGGTACGCTTACACACTTTGAGCCTTTGTTGCCATTTGAACATTCCTTCTTCAGATTGAATAACGCTTCGGTCATTTGCCATCACACTGGTGAGATCCCAATTTCTCATCTTGGAACATTTGCGGTTAACGGTACTTGCCAGCCTTTGCCCCTCGGTATCCGCGAGGTAGCTAAACCTTCACATTTTACGGCTTCACTAAAAAACCCAGGATTCCATATCATTGAGCCATGACAGTAACATTAGTATCAAACTGCATTAATTCTATAGTTTTACATTCTCCATAAACAAAAGATTGCAGTTCCAGGGGGAAAAACTGGTTGGGAACTACCTTTCTGTAGTTCCATGGAAGTTGCTATACTTTAGTTTAAAAGCTTATATATAATATTGGCAAGTATGTTGATCACCAAAACAAATATCTCTTTTAAAGCTTGGTGGATCAAAGAATCCCTGAATGACCTTGAGAAGAAGATCCATGTCTTCCATGAAACAAGCAGCCAAACACCCAGCAATGTGAGTCAGCAGAAGATCAGGCAAGATAACCATCAGGCTTTGCTGCAATATTTGTGCAAGTCATATGGAAATCACTCCACAAGTAACTTTTCAGGTATGTTTTCAGTCCCCTGAAGCTATCAAAAATTGAAGCTTGGCATGATCCAGAGGACTTCAAGGATGTTTCAGTCCCATCGGCTCTCTCTCCCTCCCTCCCTCCCTCCTTGGGAGATTTCAGGAGTTGTGTTTCAAAAAAGTAACTTTTAAAAAATAGAAAAGCATGCTCTCTAACTTCTGATTTGTCAGGGACAATCAGAAGTTAGATTTTTTTTTTAAAAAAAAAAAAGTTGCTTTTCTATCTTTCTTGATAGAGCCCATGACTGCTGCTTGCTATTTCTTAGATTTCCAGAGCCCTTCATACTTTAAAGGCCACCAACAGCCCACTATTTTGTATGTTTATCTAGAGCAGTGGTTCTTAACCTGTGCGTTGCGGATCACCAGTGGGCCGTGAGGATGAAAATCTGGTCCGTGAGCCTCCTTCCTCTTTATTTATTTATTTATTTATTTCATTTCATTTCATTTATTTTATTTCTGCTCCTTTCATGCCACCTGCCACTCCTTCCCTGTCGCTGACCATGGCATATGTTCTGTATCAGAAACTAGAGTCGATGTAGTTTATCCAATGAAATTTTCTGAATCAGCACCCCAAACCGAATCTAAAGTTGACCAAAAATGGATTCGTAAACCTTTTGGTACTAATGTTGGAGTATGGCCCCTGGTCAAGTAGTGCCTGGTCAAAGGGGTCCCTGGTCAAGTGGTCCCTGGTCAAAAAAAGGTTGAGAACCACAGATCTAGAGAAAAGTGTTTCTTGATTTCAGGAGGTCTGCAGCTAACACTTTGCATAAACATGCTTGTTTAGAAAAAAAATAGAATACAAATAGGGATGTTTAATTCTGTGACATTGTTTATGTTGACATGGCATCAGCATCTATATATATTTACTAGAGTGGAAAATCTAAGTTGCATAGAGCTCAATCAAGTAAAACAAGTAGTAACTTCTCCTTTTAAAAACAATACAGAGAATCCAAGATGCATACTCTGTCCTGAAAGCTGGCTGCTTCATGAGCACAAATGCTACTGGATCTCCCAGGAAAAGCAAACGTGGAACAAGAGCCGCCATGACTGCACAGCAAAAGTCTCAAAGCTTGCAGTGATAAAAGAAAAAGAAGAACTGGTAAATACTGATACTCTGTAGATCTGAATGGTTAAGGCACTTTCTGCACTAGGGGAAAAAAGCAAATCCTTTGTCTGAGTGATCACAATATTGTGCTCTGGTAAATAATAATAATAATAATAATAATAATAATAATAATAATAACAACAACAACAACAACAACAACAACAATAACAACAATAACAATAAACTTTATTTATATTCTGCCCTATCTCTCCAAGAAGACTCGGGGCAGATTCCAACGACAAAACGGCAAACATTCAATGTCTGATAAAACAATACCTGGTAAAGTAAATTAGGAGGCTGCATAAATTATTTACAAATATTTGAATTGTTTGATTTGACCTGTATAAGATTTTATATTTTTCCTTTATTGGTAATAACAAGAACAAGGAACTGCTAAACACCTACTGATAATTCTTAGAAAATAATATTGACCAGAATCCTGTATCAGCTACTTAATTTAGTATGCTATTTATACTTGTTATTCTGTGCCTTCAAGTTGTTTCTGACTTACAGCAACTCTAAGGTGTTGTTTGCTTGGCAAGATTTGTTCTGAAGTGGGCTGCCTTGTACTTCCTCTTAGGCTACGACATACTCTTAAATATACTTCAGTATGCTTAACTAGATAAACTTCCATTGGTCTGACCCTAATTCTAATGGAAACGTAATTAAACTATGAGATTGATACCCATTAAAGTAGGTGGATGGGTGGAAATAATCAAAACTGTGACAAATTAGTGACCACGAATATGGAAGGGTTAGTAGTTTGAAAGCATGCAAATGTGAGTAGATCAATAGGTACCGCTCCAGCGCCCCCCTCGACGGACTGTCACCTTGTCGTGGTGAGGGGGCTTGCATGTTCCGATGAACCTGTAGGCACAACAACTGGAGTCGTGCACTCCCAGGAGTGGCTGCGGGGGAGGTCCCAGACCAAGCACAGTCCGAAGACCCAAAGACCTCAATGGCGGAGCAGGCGGAGGATAACATGGCACATGTTACAACGGCTGTGAAGGCGGAAGAAGGCTGCAACAGACTGAGAAGCCACGGTCATTGTGTTAAACTACATCACCAGTGGAACCTCACTCTGTGAAGACTGTGTGTTGATCAGTTGTGCACTGACCTCCACACATTAAAAAAACCCACGCACAGGCGTCTTCCAAAGAAAATAAAAACCAAGCAAAAGTCCCATGGCGATCAGCGAGTGGCGACGGGGGCAGGACTGTGAAATCTGGAAGCCCCTAGTCACAGACTGGCACATGGGCGGTGGGTACGGACTCAGTCGTTCTACCTCAAGGTTCGAGGCAGTTGAGTAGTTCGGCAGCTGTATCCGCGACTGAGCAGCCCTTTTGAGGACCCACTCTGCTCACCCCACATGGGGAGGGGGCTAGAAAAGGTGCCCTAAACATAGTCTGCCTCTCTTATCCCTGACTGGACTGCCGTGTCCAGTGGGGTCACCACCCTGCGGCCAAAAAAGAAAAATGAACTTCGGTACGTGGAACGTACGGACTCTGATGGACAACAGTGGCAGTGAACGCCCCGAACGCAGAACTGCCATCATTGCAAGGGAGCTGGGACGCTTCAACATCGACATAGCAGCCCTTCAGGAGACCCGGAGAGCAGGGGAGGGACAGCTGAAGGAAGAAAAAGGAGGCTACACCTTCTTCTGGAAGGGACTGCCTGAAGAAGACCAAAGAATGCACGGAGTTGGCTTTGCCATCAGAAATGATCTGGTGAAACATCTGTCCGAAGCACCCACTGGCATCAACGAACGACTCTCAACCCTCCGAATCGATCTTGCCAAAAACCAACGGGCAACCATCATAAGTGCCTATGCACCAACACTAGATGCTGATGAAGACATCAAGGAGAAATTCTACTGTCAGCTGGACACCGTCCTATCGGGGATACCTAAGGAGGACAAAATCATCCTC